GGGGGGGGGCGACAGTGGAGAGAGGCAAGGCACCACGGGAGGAGCCGCCGCCGCCGCCGCCGCCGCCGCCGCCGCCGCCGCCGCCGCATTCTCGGCCATCTTCGAGCTGCGCATCGTGATGACCTGCTCGAGTGGAGGGCCCCCACTCTGTGAGGACCAGTCCCAGCACGTTGCCGGAGCTAGAGACGTTGCGGAGCGGCCGAGGAGTCCGAGGAACACCCCGAGCCATCTCCGCGTATCTTGAATCCGCACCTCTGTCACATCTCGGCTGGATCTCGGGCCGCACCTCGGCTGGGTCTCGGCTGGGTCTCGGCTGGGTCTCGGCTGCATCTCGGCTGGATCTCGGCTGGATCTCGCCCCGATCGAGAACTCCGAGAGGGCGGAGTCGCGCGGGCCTGGCTCTGGGCCTGGCGTCGGGCCTGGCGTCGGGGGCGGGTCGGAGGCGGAGGGGAGGGAGGCGAGGGAGGAGGCGGGCGGGTAGGCGGCGGCGGAGAGCTCGACGAGCCCGATGAAGTAGCGCCCGCCGTGCAGGATGAGGAGCGCGCCTGGGAGGGGGGGGGGAGGGGGGGAGGAGTGAGAGCAGGGCGAGCCCCAGCACACACACACCGAGGGGCGCGACAGGTGCCACCATGTCGACCAAACTCCGCCCGTTCTACTCGCGCGCGCAGCCCGGGCTGCTCCTATGCTTCCACTACGACTGCGTCGAACGACTGCGACACTACCGCGGCAGTCGAGGAGAGTGCTACTCCAACAAAAGAAGACGACAATGGCGGCGCGCCGCGGCAGTCGAAGAGCGCGTAGGAGTGCGAGGTCCGGTCGTAGGCGCGAACAGGCTGGCGGGTGGTACCGCCGAGCACCTGGCAGAGGGGTGGCTGTTGCAGCTGTTGTCATGCACTCTTCTTTGGTGTGTGTGATTCAGGTCTGGCATGCGACCGCCGAGCACCCGAAGGGAGGGGGATTCGAATCAACTCCGTGGCGGTGGGTGTGGTGGTGGGCCGCGCGTGTTGCGCTGGTCGCCTCGTCTGGGACGCAAGAGCGGAAGAGCTCGCCTGAGAGCGAGAGAAGAGCGACACGGCAGGGTCAAGACTGGTGAGTGACGAAGGTCAGGGGCGGGAGAGAGCTCGCCCTCGCCGTGTCACTACTATACGACTGTGACTGCGACTGCGACGACACTACGACTACCGCTACCCTCCGTCTACACTACCCTACTGCTGTGCACACTACCCACTGCTACTGGCCGCTCGCCGTAGAGCCGCCGGATGAGAGGCACGTCCTACGGTACAGCGCCACCACGCCACTCGAGAGGAGGTGTACCTCCAGAGGAGCACAATTTCTGCGCCCAGCGCGAGCAGCGGGTGGCGGGGCGAGTGCCTCGCGGTGGACGAAGAGCGAGTTGATCTGGGGATGGGGATGATGAGGGTATCAGAACGAGGGCGCGTTGAGGTCGGGAACTCAGGGGATGGGTCAGTATGCTGAGATGCGTGTGTGTGTGTGTGTGTGAGTGATTGAGCGTGTGTGTGTGTGTGTGTGTGTGTGTGTGTGTGTGTGTGTGTGTGTGTGTGTGTGTGTCAGTGTGTGTGTGAGTGATTGAGCGTGTGTGTGTGTGTGTGTGTGTGTGTGTGTGTGTGTGTGTGTGTGTGTGTGTGTGTGTGTGTGTGTGTGTGAGTGAGTGTGTGTGTGTGAGAGAGTGTGTGTGAGTGAGTGAGTGAGTGAGCGTGGTGAGTGGTCCTCCTCTGCTGTGCGAGGTTGCCTCAAGGGCGGACGAGTCGAACGCCCTGTACATCTCCGCGGTGGTGGCGAAGGAGCGCTCGAAGGCCTGCGGGCGGCGCGAGGGGGTGGGCAGGCCCTCGGGCAGCCCTCACGTCTCTCCTCTGCTCTGCCTCGCTCGGCGGAGGAGAGGTGGTGCGCCTCGTTGGCGTGCTGCTACTGCTGCTGCTGCTACTGCTGCTACTGCCACCACACTGGGATACCACACTGGGATACCACACTGGGAGCCTCGTTGGCGTGGAAGGCTGCTACTGCTACTGCTGCTGCTACTGCTGCTACTGCCACCACACTGGGATACCACACTGGGAGCCTCGTTGGCGTGGAAGGCTGCTACTGCTACTGCTGCTGCTACTGCTGCTACTGCCACCACACTGGGATACCACACTGGGAGCCTCGTTGGCGTGGAAGCTGGCCACGCCGTCGCGCCGCACGCGCACCTGTTGGACGCGTCCTGGACACGTCACGCGGCCGTGTCGAGGAGCCGTCCCGCCACGGTCGCGCCGCAAACAGACGTTGACGTACGTCCCTTCCTCCGCCGCCAGCTTGCGCGCGAAGAAGGGCGGGAGCCCGTCGCCGCACCCGACAGGGGAAGGGGTTTGGCTTAGACACTCGCTCAGCACGTCGTCGAGGGGGATGTCGTGGTGACTGCGCAGAGCCGCTCGTGTCAAGAGACGCTGTTCGCAGTGTCTGTGGCTCAAGGGGCGGTGCGGCGTGCCGGCAGAGCGCCGCCACAAACTCGATCAGCTCGAAGGTGCCTCGCCGGCGGGCGGTCGTGGCTATCGCTCGCAGCACGTACCTGCGCAAAGAGCAGCAAGGGAGGGGAAGGGTGTTCGTCGCCCCAAAGCAGAGCGGTGGGCATCGCCGCCACGGGCATACGGCCATCGCGGGGCGGCGCGCGCCGAGCCGCGAGCGGCGATGCGCCCGGCGAGAGGACGTACGAGAGGGTCTCTGTCGCGGAGGAGGTTGTGGTGCCGGGGATCTGCTGCAGCGCGCGAGTCACGAGTGGACTCGGGGCGACATTGAGGAGGAGTCCGCCCCCGGCTGCGGTCTTGGCCTTGCGCGGCGCCCTCGGCTTGGGGACGGCCGACGGCGCGGGCACGCAGTCAAAGCCGAGCCGGGCACAGCGGTCGCACTTGCGGGCGATGGGGCCGTCGGGCCATTGGCCCGGGTCGAAGTTGACGCACTTGGACTTTGTGGACTTACAACGCACACAGACGCGCGTCGGCGGTGGCATCGCGGTGCTGAGCAAAACCTGCCGGTGCCATCTATCAGACGCTCCCCCAAAAATTGCGCGTGTTCGACGCCCACGGGTCCCGGGGGGTCGGAGGGGTTGCGAGAGGTGAGTGTGAGTGTGTCACACTGCGAGAGGGCTATTTTTTGTTTGAATTCTGGAGGCCGTTCAAACATGTAACGTGCGTTCCACGTGCCCGTCCCCAGCAAGGACAACATGCTAGCCCAGCAGGCCGCTCCCACCGCCGCGCCCGCGGCGGAGGCAAGGCGGCAAAGGGTGGCAAGGGCGGCGGCAAGGGCGGTGGCAAGGGTTGTGGCCGTGTGGCGCACCAGACCCACTTTGCGCCGCCGCCCTCAACGCCCGAGCAAAGGCGGGGACCTGTCTGTCCACTCCCCAGGCCTAACTTGGCACAGGCGACAAAAAACAAAATAAAAACTTTTTTTTCGCGTCAGTGATCACCCCCTCGGCCTCGCCACCGCACCCCCTTTTGGCAGTGTTAAGTGCCAGTGCGCGCCAATAAATAAATAGAGCAGGCATCTCCAGGCGAGATGGGCGACGCACGAACACAGAGGCACAGTGCACCCCGCCCCGCTCGCAGGGCGTGCATCACACAGATTCGTGCCTTTTCTTTTGGCAGCCGGGCACTCGGTGTCATCAAGGGGACAGCGGCCACATTCCAGGGCTCGATCGATTGTGGCGGACCACCCCCTGACTGTCCAAAATGTTGTCGTGTTGGCGGCGAACTTGTTCCTCTTTTCCCGAAAGGCGCCTGATCCATCGTTGAAAAGAGACCCTCCCCGCGGTCTCACGTTGGCCGAGATATGCCTGCCGCGCTGAGACGGACGAGAAGGCAGTAAGAGACGGCTGTGAGACGGAAGTGAGACGGAGTGATGGGCCTGAGACTTCTTGGGATCTATTGAGACACGCTGAGACGCTGAGAGTGAGACAGGGTGACAGGGACGAAATCACGTGAGACTGAGACGAATCAACGTGATGCCCAGACGTCCTTCCGGTGCCCTCAGACGCTCCCAAAAAAAACTCAAAGAGGGGTGCGCGTGGCGGTGGCGGTGTGCTGCGCTTGAAGTCACGAAGGCGCCGATGTGAAGGCGCCGATGTTATCACACCTCGGCGATTCCCCGGGTACAGACCCATGGTCCGCCGCGGTCTCACGTTGGCCGAGGCACATCGAATGGCGCGGAAGGAGGGCACAGCGCTGATCCTCAGCCGCACGAACGCGACAGGCTTCAAGTGCGTGGAGTATGAGGTTTTGAGGAAGCGGTTCCGCGTGCGGGTGACTATCGACAAGCGGAAAACGGCTACACTCGGTCGCTTCGACACGGCTCACGAGGCGGCGCTCCACTACGCCCGATCAAAGTATGGCCGCGCGAACGCGACAAAGCAGACAAAAACGAAGTCAAAGCAGACGCAGCGGGAACGCCCTCTCACCGCCACCGCCAAGGCCGCCCCCCCTTGCCCCACCACTTTGTGTGTGTGGAGAAATTTACCTTACCTTACCTTACCTTACCTTAGGCTGTCCGGCAGGCAAGCGATGACGGCCTCCTGCTCATCCGGAGCACGAGCGCGAGCGGCTTCAAGGGCGTGTACGTCGACACGCGCTCAGGCGGTTTTGTGGCGACTGGGGTAGCTTCGGGGAGGCGCGTCCACCTTGGAACTTTCAAAATCGCCCACGAGGCCGCCCTCGCGTATGCCCGCTTCGAGGCGGCGATGGAGTCGGAGTCGGAGTTGGTCGACGACGCATCAGACTTTGCCGTGGGCGATCGCGTTCGCGTCTTGTTCATCAAACCGCCACGCTTCTACCCGGGAAAGGTCGCCGCGGTGGAGTCCAAGTTCGTCTACCGGATTCATTTCGACGATGGCGATGTCTTCAACGTGGACTGCCGGAAGCTGGTGATCAAGGACGGCGCGGAGGACATGGTGGAGGATGGGGAGGAGGGCGGTGGCGAAGAGGGGGTGGAGGTCGAGTCGCAGCGGCAGCGGCAGCGGCGCGAAAGGATCGAGCGTCGCACGGCCGCACAGCAGGCGACTGAGCAGATGGGAGCGCGCCCGTGACTAATATTATGGCGTACCCCGCGTAAGTCGTCCCTGTGCTCACCCGACGTCGATCCGGCGTGTCGTCCCTGGCAGGCGCGCGAGGCCGACGCTGAGGAGGAGGCGGCGGCGGCGGCGGCGGCGGCGGCGGCGGCGGCGGCGGAGGAGGAGGGGGAGGAGGAGGAGGAGGAGGAGGAGGAGGAGGGGGAGGAGGAGGAGGAGGAAGAGGAGGAGGAGGAGGAAGAGGAGGTGATTGCTGAGGTGGAAGGCGGGGGCGGGGAGGAGACGCAGGACGAGGACACGCCCCAGGAGGAGGCAGGCGCCGCGGGAGGAGAGCCGATGCCACTTGTGGAGTCGCCGCAGGAGGCGCCGGAGGACGAGCAGATTGACCGCGCCGATGTCGTGCTGCGGACCGTCGAGAAGCTCAAGCGCCTGAGCCGCTTCCAGAGCACCGCGGACCTCGCTACCGTCCCTGCCCTCGACCAGATGGAGCGCAACTTCTACGGCGTGGTGCGCGAGCGACGCGTTTTAGCATTTTGTAGAGGTTCCGCCCTCTACTAGACGTGTGAGCTAACACAGACCCTGGAGCGTAATGGACACCGGCCCGCAAGGAGAGAGCGTCAGTCACCTGTCCCTCCTCGCATTCGGCATAGGTCAAGCAGGGGCCTGTCCCACAGCGGGTGCACGCGCTGCGATTCGACCTCGGGCTCTAGAGCTTTCCTCGGGGGTCGAGACTAGCCCGTGCGACTTGCCTTCCTAGCTTCCTCGGGTTGGGGTGGTGGTTGTTGGGTGGTTATGGGTGTATCGGGCTCGTGGTAATTTGGAGGATGAGCCTCCCCCATCGTGACACACGTAAGAGACGTTGGTCTAGTATCTGCACACTGTGTGGTGTGTCTGCGCGGTGCGCTTCTGTAGAGTGGGTTTGGCGTTAACGCTTCGCGTTAGAGTCTCGTGAGTGGAGAATGAGGTTTGAGCATTGAGCTTTGAGGGGGGTGTCACGGCGCGGTGTTTTGCCACACGACAGCGGCGTGGCAGCGAGCGCGCGCGCAGACCACCGTCGACACTCCGGAGTGACCAGTGTCCCACGGCCGCAAAAACTTTTGAAAAACACGGGGGTCGAGGCGCGAAACCGAATAAGGTCGAAAGCAAAATATCTGTCCATGACCATGTGTTGACTGCATGTGAATCTGTGTGGCGCGGCGCGCGGCGAGTTTGTGCGTCGGCTTCTATCAGAAGTAAGACTAAGTCGTACAGAGCCGTAGTAACGTAAAAAGAGGCAAACTCATCCTCTGGTGGAGAAGGGTTTGCAGCGCTCTGCCGCTTCTCTACTCTCGAAAACAACTCCGTCAGCTGCCATTGTATCAGCTGGTGGACTATCTTGTTCACGGGGCCCCGTGAGAGCTGCGCGGGTAGTCTCACATGATCTGCTTCCCGATGAGAGCGTACCTCCCAACGGAGCGTAGCCTCATCTCCTTGGCCTCTTCCTCGAGCGCCGCGCTGCCGGAGACAGGGACGAGCGGTCAGAGACAGGGACGAGCGGTCAGGAGACAGGGACGAGCGGTCAGGAGACAGGGACGAGCGGTCAGGCGCGGGCCGGGGGAGGGCGGCGAGGCGAGGGTGTGTGGACGGACGGTCACGATGTTGGGTGTGGGGGTGTGGGTGTGTGGGCGGGGGGGCGTAGTCGCCTTCCGCCCGTCCGCTCGATGTGGAGAGTGGCGAAGCCGAGCACGGCGATGGAGATGAGCAGCTTGAGCGCGCAGAAGAGGAGCCAGGTGAGCAGCAGCAGCAGCGGGCCCGACGAGTGGTGGAGCGCGAGGGTCGGGAGGACCTTAACGTCAGTTGATATGCATGAACATGAAGTGCTTTGCCTGGCACTGTGATCGCGAGGGTCGGGAGGGCCTCGTTCCCGAAGACGCGTATGGCGAGGCAAAAGAGCGGCAGCGGCACGAAGCCCATCCTGGCGGCGGACGGTAAGCAATGAGACAGTGACTGATGAATGCGTGAATGGATCAGCGGAGCCCCTCCTGGCGGCGACGTTGGCGAGCGGCTCCTGCGTGAGGAGGCGGCGGTGGCGGTGAGGTGGCCGAGTCGGCCCACGGGGAGGGGAGTGCCGTGGATTGGTTCCGGTGCTGCTTCCCGCGTTGTGGTGTGTGTGGCGGTGAGGCACTGCGGAAGGGGCTTCGGCTATAGGTGCAAGGAGTTGGCGCTTCCTCCCACTCGCTCCTGCGTGGTGGCGGAGGCCGCGGTGTCGGCGCAGAGGATGCGCGTGAACTTTGCGTACACGTCCGGCCTAGTGGGGCAGCAGAGAGGGCGCCGGTCCGGAGGAGGAGAGGGGCCTCGCGCGAGCGTGTGTCGACACCGCATGCGGTTGAACTTCGTGACAAAGGCGTGCTTGATCCAGTCCACCTGAGGGAGGAGCGGCCCCCGGCTGGTCAGAGGACGGGCTCGCTCGCAGGGCGTGCTTGAGAGCCAGTCTCACCATGATCTCGCAGACGCAGATCATCAAAAAGGCGTGCGAGACCTGGCAGAGGCGAGGTTGGGCGAGATTGGGGCGAGATCAGCGGAGATGAGCCGAGGTCAGCCGAGACGCGGGTCGGCAGGGAGGCGCGTGGCGTCACCTCGTGCAGCCGCGCCGCAGTGAGCTCTTCCTTTTGGACAAAGACGAACTGGACGAGGACGATGAGCAGGTACCTGGCGAGGGGGTGAGGTGTGTTAGCGCCGCGCGTCTCCTCCCGGCAGGGAGAGGAGGGTGAGCAGGCACATGGACAGGTTGAAGCGCTCGACTGCGTCCGCGCAGGAGACCTGGCGAGGAGCAGAGGCAGCAGAGCTGCTCTCAGACGCAGGGGGACGAGGCATGGTGGGGCGGGGGGATGCGCACGAGGCCTGGAAGAGGTTCTCCGCCTCGCACCGCTTGAAGACGTTCGTCTTGAGCTCGGTGAAGTTGTTCGAGATGAGGAGGGTGAGCAGCACGTTCGAGTTCGAGTTGATGGCGACCGAGAGGGCGACGGCTTGGTAGAAGAGGACGAGGGTGTGGGCGGTCAGGTAGCCGTACGCCACCAGCAGGTCGAGCGCCATCTCTCCGCGCCAGCCGCGCGCGTGCGAGCTCGCCGAGGCGTAGAGCGCCTCGAGGCGGTCAGAGCCAGGGTCAGCTCAGGGCAGGGCGAGGGGGTCAAGGTCAGGGTTCGGGTCAGGGCAGAGCGCCTCATCAGGTCGTGTGGGTCGTGTGGCTGTGCTTCTGGTAACGGTGGGCAATGAATGCTATGATTCTGGTAACGGTTGGACATGAGTGCCGATGGCGATGTGGCGCCTCGAGGATGTCCTGCCCAAAGGAGGAGCAGAGCTTGTCGAAGATCTCGAGGCTCGAGAAGACGACGTACAGCTTCATCACCTGAGGAGCCATCCCCCCCCCCGATCTCATGACTGACTCAGGCCTCGAGGCACGACACGCACATGTCCCTCGCCGACTGGTTGCGGACGTTGTGGTACGCCTGAGACAGCGACCCCCGGCACGATTCGGTACTCACAAAGAAGTGTGAGCAGTTAAGAGCTGGTTCCGCCTGAGACATTGCGATGCCCGGCACGAGGAGGAGAGAGCCGGACACGAGCGAGATGAGCAGCACCTGAGGCCAGTCACCCAAGGGTTAATGATTGGTGAATGAAAGGACACGAGCGAGAGGAGCAGCACCTGAGGCCAGTCACCCAAGGGTTAATGATTGGTGAATGAAAGGACACGAGCGAGAGGAGCGGCACCTGAGAGGTTGTGCAACCAATCAGAGAGGGCGGGGCGGGCAGCCGGGGGGTCGAGGGAAGCAGCGCCCGCAGCGCGTCTCGCCGCTGCGACGGGGAGAGCGACCGCGACTCGCGGCCGAGTCGCTGCGCGGCCTAAGGAGTCCAACAGCCGTGCCACTGCTCCGCTCGCCTCTCCGCTTGCAGAGGTCGGTGCGGTCGGAGGGTGGCTTGCCGCGAAAAGGACGCGGATGGGGAGGAAGGTGCACTGGTCGATGAAGGCGTCGACGCAGGCGAGGTAGCCTGTGCGGAGCAGACCGGGTTGGAGAGAAGACAGGAGGTGGGCGGTCTCAGCAGCCCACGCAAGGTTTGGCCGAAGAGGAGAAGCGGCTCGAGGTTCCGCGGCACCTGAAGCAAGTGCTGTCAATTTGAGCACCATCGCCCTTCCTCCTCTGCGAGTAGCAGCAGTAGCGCCGCCTGGAAGAAGTTGTAGATGCCCTCGCGCCGCCGCTGCGCGTCCTGCTCCGAAGCAGACTCGCTCCGGTACACCATCGCCTGCGCGCTGTCCGAGCCGAGCTGCCCCCCGAGGAAGGCGAGCAGGCCGCCGCCGCCGCCCGCCCTGCGCCGCTGGTCCACCATGGGAGCGGGGAGCCGCATGTCGGCGGGGCAGGTCGCGGAGGCCGGGATCGAGCTGCCCGCCTTTGGGATCGAGCAGCGCAGGCCTGGCGACCGCTCGGACCCCTTCAGGAGCGGAGACCGGTCGGACGGGCGCGAGGCCGCGCTCGCACCGCAGCCTTCCGCCAGCGCTGCTGCCCGCTGCTGCCTGCTGGCACGGGAGCCGCCGGACGTGCTGCGCGGCGAGAGCTGTTCGTCGGCGCTCCTGCTGGACGACGCCTCGGAGGCGACGCCGCGGCTGGGCGATGAAGGCAGCGAGAGGCGTGGCGACTCCTCAGGCGACGCGGCCACCGGCGGCACAGAGAGCTTGAGCTCGGGCACCGGAGGAGGGTAGCGCGTCGGAGGCTCGGGTGGCGTCGCCATGCTGCACGGAAACAATAACGCACCACCCTCAGCGGAGCTGGGAAGAGGACCGCCGCAAGCGGCGTGGCGTGGAGCGGTTGTGCATCCCTCCGGGGGCCCCTCTGCGCCGGGGAGGCGTTGTTGGAGGCTAGGACGCAAGCGTCCGTCGCCCTTTTCAAACTCGGGGCCGACTCCGCTACGCTCCGACCCGAATTTGGAGGGCCTAAAAGTTTAAGGTGTTGCTGCGCAAAAGGGGTCGGACACCGGGCGCAGCTCATGCTAAGAGCTAGAAGAGGAGATAGAGAGAACAACCACCCTGTCCCGTTATTTGCGTACACCAACACCACAAAACGCTCTCTCTCTCCTGTCCTCACTCAGGGGGGTCACAACTACCAAGTCCCTCGACTAGCTGCCACAGGGCGCAGCTGCCACAGGGCGCAGCTGGAGACGCTCCCCCTCAATCGGCATCCACCCCCACCCGCTCCAGCCCCACTTCTGCTGCCGAGAGAGCTGAATCGAAGCAAGCGAGCCATTGCATCTTGGCGTGCTCCTGGAGCGCGGCTTTCTGCGGCCACGAGCACGGCGGAGTCGGCGTCGTAGTGCGCATCGTTCCCGCTCATCGCCCATTCCTCCCGTGACGTGTGTCGGCCGCGATTCGATGTCGCCACCTTCATCGCCAACGAGGACTCCCTCGACTGCAGGGGGGCTCCGGCGCGGGGAGGGACTCCGCCTGCTGCGCTGGCCGACTGCGCCCTCCTCCTCCATGGGATCGATCCGATTCCGCAGCGGCGGTGCTGCGCGGGAGGCGGCCGCGGGCACGCTGGGCTCGATCAGCGGCTTTCCCCTCAGGTAGCGCGAAAGCACGATTTGGCGGATCTTGGCTTCAATTTTACGAATGTCTTGGCACCAGCTGAAGGCTTGCCCGGCCCAGATCGCCCACTTCGTGCACGGTATTCGGATTTTGGCTATTTGTTCGTGTGGGGGTATATTGCAGATTTGTCAATGGTACCGCGTCTGCGACGCGGGCGCCTTGCGGGCAGAGCCCTTAGGACACCCTTTATATCTTGCGCGGTCAAAAAGACTACGGACGCTGCTCTTTCCCCCCCCCCCCCCCGGCGCGCGGTGTTTCTAGTATTAACAAGGACCATTGGTTTCTAGTATTAACAAGGCGCTCTCAAAAAAGAATTTTATCCTTTTCCGGTGGCGGCGTGCCGTCCTCCCCCCCTCTTTGGGGTGGTAGCTTTCTTTTTTCTGCCCCGCCCTTGGGTGATTTTCTTTCTTTCTTTCTTGGTGGCACTATGCAGCTACGTACCGGTACACCAAAAAAGAATGTCTTATGCGCGCTGGCAAGAGGAGGACCCGCTAGGTGGCGTTTTGTCGAAAAAGGGGGCTTTGTCGAAAAAGAAATATGAAAACGATTAAACCTAATAAAAAAGGAGCCAAAAACAAACGCCATGTCCGCCTTGCGTTGTTTCATAACATCGAAGGCTAAGCTCAAAACAAACCAAGGATACCCATCACTGAGCCGACGATGCTACGGGTAGCCCCAGGGTGGTGCCCACCCCCATACCCTCTGGCACTTGCCTGCGCCCTGGCCGCGCATGCCGCGCACGCGCGCGCACGCGCGCGCACGCCCGCGCACGCCCGCGCACGCCCGCGCACGCCGCGCACGCCCGCGCACGCCCGCGCACGCGCGCGCACGTGTGCGCACGTGTGCGCACGTGTGCGCACGTGCGCGCACGCGGCACTACGCCGCACTACGCCGCACAGTGTGGCGCTGTGTGGCACTTCCGGCAGGTTGCTGTGAGAGAAGCATGTGTTACCCCCTACACAGCCTTTTACACACATTTAATCACCATCAAGACCCAAGAGCATCTCTTTGACCTCCTCTAGGTCACACCTGTCTGGGCATGACTTAGGGCCAGCTCGCGACCCCTTTTTCCGCCATGCAACAGTGGGTTCGTCCAAGTCCATGACTTCATCCCACCCATCAGCCGGGTAGAAGATACGCATCTGCTGGTCTGGAACTCCCGGCACAAGCTGCACGACAATGCCTGGTTGCCAAGTCCCGGTGTCATCAGTGTGGTCGTCCTCATCCCACCACACAACCTGGACATGCCAGCCGACGATGTTCTGCGCATCATTAGTTGTCTGCCGTAACCCGGCTGTCCCCAATACATAGCCAGCAGGCGTTTTGGCCTGCTGCTGCTGCCCCCCCTCCTGCTGCTGCTGCTGCTGCGTGCGGGAAGCGCGACCGCCAGCCGTGCCACCACCTGCAACACCCTGAAGCTGAGCATCCTCAGCAAGCCCCTCCTCGCCGTCCTCAAAGCCTGGAGTCTCACCAGGGCCGTCTCGCGATCTGGCAGTACGCACCTTGCTGCTGACTTCGAGCTGCCCTGCTCCCAAATCTGTGATGGCAAGCAAGCGCCCGCGGGAGCCTCTACCACGTGGGTCGCGGGGATTTGCTGCAGCATCGACAAAGCCTGCCCCTCCCCGGATGAAGTTGCCATAGGCGTGGCGAATGCGAGAGGATATGGCAGGGTCTTGCCTTTGCCGCATCCCGTGTGGCGGGAGGCGGTTGGTGATCAGATCAGAGATGTGAGGAGGGAAGCAGCTTGTATAACTGCTGCCGCTGCCCTGCTGAGAAGGCTGCGGTAAAGGCGCGCCGCCATCGCTGCCGCCATCCCCGTCACCACTGAGCTTTGCCTCCTCCTTGTCCGCACCTTCGCCGCCGCCTCCGCCGCCTCCGCCGCCGCCGCCCAGCCCGCTGCCGCTGCTGCCACCACCCAGCCCACCTCCGAGCTGCTGCGGAGGCTGTGCTTGTCCAGCCGCTGAAAGCGTGACAAGAAGGTGAAGGCACTTGTCCGGGGTCTGAAGGCCAGCATCCAATAGAGTGGTATTTTGGCATGGCCAACCATTCTCTCTCAGTCCAGTCGGCGATTGGATGTCATTCAGAACTCGGCGAGAAGCTTTATCAATTGCAACAACTGGGCAGGCAGCATTGACGTTAGCTCTGAAGTTGGCAGTTGGCAGTAGACCAGCAGCGCAGGCAACCGTGTGGACAACTGAGGACAACATGTCCCCATACTGATGGCGTGGTTGTGTGACAGTGATTGTCCTGCAGGGGGAGTACCATGCCAGATCAGCCACAATTGTGACATATGTGGCTGGCGTGATTGCCTGCTGCTGCTGCTGCTGCTGCTGCTGCTGCTGCTGCTGCTGCTGCTGCTGCTGCTGCTGCTGCTGCTGCTGCTGCTGCTGCTGCTGCTGCTGCTGCTGCTGCTGCTGCTGCTGCTGCTGCTGCTGCTGCTGCTGCTGCTGCTGCTGCTGCTGCTGCTGCTGCTGCTGCTGCTGCTGCTGCTGCTGCTGCTGCTGCTGCTGCTGCTGCTGCTGCTGCTGCAGCAGCAGCTGCTGCAGCTGCTGCAGCTGCTGCAGCTGCTGCCCCCGCTGCTGCCCCCGCTGCTGGCTGCCCGCACTGCTGCCCCCGCTGCTGCCCCCGCTGCTGCCCCAGCCCCCGCTGCTGCCCCGGCCCCCGCTGCTGCCCCAGCCCCCGCTGCCCCGGCCCCCGCTGCTGCCCCAGCTGCCCCCCCCTAAACACCTCTTGATACAGTCTCTGC